AGAAAGAAATAAAGACGAAAAAATGAAGTAAGAAAAATACTATAAATGAAGTTTTTTCTTCATTTATAGTCTTTTTCTTACTTCAAGAAGAATGGAGAAAGAAATAAAATGAGTAAAAAAAAGCACAGAATGATGTAAAAACTGTTCATGAAGAAAGTTTCGTTATTTTAAGAACATTGTTTATGTGGGAATGAAAAAATCATAGACAAAATAATCTGAAAAAAAGAATGAAAGAAATCTAAAGAAAGAATTACAGGAATTGAAGAATTAAAAAAGAAAGAAAGAAAAAAGAAAGAAAGGAGTCAAGTTATGTAGTTTGAGAAAAAGTATTAAACAGAAAGAAAGACATAAAGACATCAAAAGAATAAAAGAAATTTAACGAATGCATTAGAAGAAAAACAAAGAAAGAAATTAAAAGAAAGAAAGAAAGAAAACAAAAGGGAAGAAAGGAAGAAAGGTATTATGAAAAAAGAAAGAAACGAAAAGAAACAAAGAAATCAAAAGAAAGAAAGTGAAAGAAAGGAAGAAGAAATCAAAATAAAGAATTAGACGAAGATAGAAAAAAGAAAGAAAAATAATTAAAAAAAAGAAAAAAGAAAGAAATCAAGAGAAAGAAATGAATAAAGAAAGAAATCAAAAGAAAGAAAGAAGGAAAACAAAAAGGAAAAAGAAAGAAAGAAATGAAAAGAACGAGAGAAATAAAGAAATGAAAAGAAAGAGAGAAAGAAAGACATCAAAATAAAGAAATGAAAAGAAAGAAAGCAACGAAAGAAATCAAAAGAAAGAAAGAAGGAAATCAAAAGAAATAAGGAAAGAAAAAAGAAATCAAAAAAGAAAGAAAGAAAAAATTAAAGAAAAAAAAAGAATAATGGAAAAGATATTAGTTTACAATTTAAGAAAAACCTGTAAAAGCACCAAAGAAAGAATGGATAAAATTTAAAAAAGATATTGCTGGTATTTTATGAAAAGAACGTAAGAAAGACTGACTAAAAGAAAGGAAGAAACAATGTGAGAAAAAGAAGGAAAGTGTTTTTTTTTTTTTTTTTTTTTAGCTTTTGTAGTATTTTTCTGATTTTCTTTTTAGTCCATCAAACAAAAGCGACAAATATTGAAACAATTTTATTGAGGACGACGAATAAATCCGTTGTTTCTTTGTTTTTATTGACTATTAGTATTATTCAAATCTATTGCGCAATATTTGCTCAAGTCTCAATTATTGGGTCTTTAATTACGTTATTTTGTCAGATGCCAACAAATACAACGTCGTCATCTTCCTCATCCTCGAATCGAACCCGAGACACAAGTGCCCGCTTTAAATTCTCCTCGTATCGATTGATACTGAACAAAACAATCAATATCTTTCTTTACAAATTGAGCCACAGCCGTTTATTGTTTCAAGTTTCATTCATTCGATTTCAACATTATCAATCTGACAGAATCAAATTTAAGAGTTTCCGTCATGACAGAGATAAAGGGGTGAAGCAGTTGCACACACTTTCTCTACCCCCATCCAATCTACCCCGACCTTGTCAGATACACGTGTTAGTTTCTTCTTCTTCTTCTTCTTCTTCTTCTTCTTCTTCTTCTTCTTCTTCTTCTCCACACCCCTTTTTTGCCGCACCCCCACTTACGACACCGCCTGATTATTGCTCGAGTTGTGGCGTTATAGCGTCACTGTCGCTCTTCCTGATGTTACTCGCATTCTTTCATCTTTTCTCAGTGAATATACACGCACTTGTATCAAGAAGGCGAGCAAGTTGCCGTTTGAGAGAAGCACACACACACACACACACACACATACACGCGTGCACACTTAACAAAACAAAGAACAACCCCGACCCCTCAAGCAAAAAACGAGGGGTTCTCTTCTTCCTTCTTTGTGGGCAATTGAGACGAACGGAATATTTTACCACAGCTGATAAATTGAAAGTAAGTACAGTACACAGTTTAAAAAGTTAAAAATCGCTTTCTTTCATTCATCATTGTCTTAAATTCTAAGCTAAAACGGGAAAAATTCTTAAAGATGAGGTCTTTAAATTATTTGCAATACATTTAAAAAAATTATTTAAGTGTTTCAGTTAAAAAAATACCTAGAATTTTTAACATTAAGCGTTTTTTTTAGTTTATATATAATTATATTTTTAAGCAGTTAATACATTTTTATAAATCCAACAATATTTGTTAGCAATAGAATAAATAATAAATATGTATTAATTAATGTGTGTGTATGTCCGTGTGAGTAGATAATTTGTGTGTGTGTGTATGTGTGTGTATGAAGAACAAAAAACAGTACAAGAAGCCGGTCACGTGACGCTTACTGACCTCTTGACCCCCAACATGGCTTCCTTTTTAAAATCGATGATTTGTTGACAATACTCGTTTGTAAGTATTTTTTTAAAAATTTAAATCTTGCCATTTATTTTTATTTATTTACTTATTTATTTATTTAAATTCCACCAATTTTGTTTTTAAACTTTTTACGTTTCTCCTCCCCCTGCACATTTTCCCCACCCCGGCTCCATTCAATCCCATTTTTATGACATATTTTTATTTTTATATTTTTATATAATTTGTGTGATTTTACGTGGTTTGGTTTTTTCGAAAATATTTATATATATATATATAAATATATATATATATATATATATATATATATATATATATATATATATATATATATATATATATATATATATATATATATATATATAAATAATTTTCGGAGTTGGTCAAATGGCATTCAAGTCGAGGGTAGATGTTTATTTATTGTTTTTTAAAGAAGTGGAATTAAATACCACATTTTTTCTTCTATACTTGAATTCTCTTACCTTTTTTTTTACAGACTTGCTTATTATTATTATAATTAATTTATAAGTTATTTTCAAAATAATTGTTTATAATCATTTACTAATTTCATCTTTTTTTTTTTTAATTAACGTAATTTCTTTTAAAAAATTAAAAATCACCCCCTGCCAAAAAAAAAAAAAAAAAAAAAATTGTTTCTTTTAGTTTCCCTCGTTGCCTTGTCATGTTTACAATTTTTGTTTCATTCATTTTTGTTTGACAAATTGAATCCAGGTCAATTTTTTTTCTTTTAAATATATTTTGAATCTTCAGATTAACAGTAACAATTTAAATCCTAATTGATCAGATTAAATCTGAATAACAAAATTATTTATAAAACGATGTTATTTTCGTGTATGAGTCACAAGGATTTTGTTTGTTTCTTTGAATTCTTCTCGCTTGTTCTTTTGTGAAGAAATCGGAAAATTTTTAAGACAAATGATTTTTGTGTCAATGTTATTTTAAGGGAATATTTTAATTTCCTTATTTGATTTCAAAGTTCCGTATAAAAATGTATATTTTTTAAAAAAAATGACAATAATTTTTGGTTTGCTTTTTTTTTCGACAAGTTAAAAAATTATTTAGAAATAAGGAAATCACTTTTTAAAACTAAAATATTTAAAAAAAAAGTCATTCGTTTTTTACTTACCATTAAAAAAGCGATAAGAGTGCAATATTTTGGAAGGTTGAATTATCGTTTTTTTTTTTTTTTTTTAAAGAGATGCAATGCATTTTCTATGTGATTTTGTGTCTGGTTCCTACACATTTTTATAACGAAAATTAAGGAGACACCAACACAAAAAAAAAAAAAAAAAAAATTAAAATTTTATTTAGAAAAAAAAATTAAAAGATTCTGCTTTTTTATTTGGACTTTAGAAACTAGAAAAACGTAAAAAAAAAACATAAGATATGTAAAAAAAAAAAAAAAATAAAACCCAAAAATAATGTCTTGAAAGAAAACACGTACGATTCGATCTTGCTTGAGGTTGTTATTATTTAATTTTAAATTTGTTAATAATTGTTTTTTATTCCTTTTTGCGTGATTTTCTTCGGACAAATAATAGATAGAAATAAAAAAAATACACCCAAAATATGTAAGCACATATGCACGTATGCTGCATTATTTTGCAGCTTGGCACAATAACGTGTTGTAAATGTTAATTTACAGTACACCCTTTGAAAACGCATAATATAGTTGTGAACACACCCATTTGACATTAGTTACACTGTACACATAAAACGGGAGACGATTTCTTTTTCTGTATATAATTATTACATACATACGGAGCAGCACATTTTTATTTTATAGCACACACACGTTTTTTTTGTGACACGCACCTTGTGCTAAGCTAACAAAAACAAATTATTCGCGATTTAGACGGGAAAGTTGAATGTGGGTTCATGCAATCATAAATCATTTTTCTATGGAGATTAACACGAAATTTTGGTGATGGTAGGAATTTTAGGGTTCATGCCTCTTTTGAGGTCATTTGAATAATGAAATCATAGCAGTGTTTGACCCAAAAAATTACATAAAAATAAAACTATCTTATTGGTGTTGTACTGTTATTGTTTTCTTTGACTACAAACCAATAGGAGGACCAATGTACTTTTAAAATTTACAGTTAGTTTAGAACTAGATAGATAGATAGATAGATAGATAGATAGATAGATAGATAGATAGATAGATAGATAGATAGATAGATAGTGAACAGGCTGAATTAGATGAACAAACTGAAGTAGATAGATAGATATGAACTGACTGACATATATATATATATATATATATATATAATATAGATAGATATATAGATAGATAGATAATGAACAGGCTGAATTAGATATGAACAAACTGAAGTAGATAGATATGAATTGACTGACATATAGATAGATAGATAGATAGATAGATAATGAACAGACTGAAATAGATAGATAGATAGATAGATAGACATACATACATACATACATACATACATACAAACATACATACAGACAGACAGACAGACAGACAGACACACACACACACACACTAGTTTTTGTTTTTTAAATGATTACTCTTTCTCAGTAAATGCCTGCACGAAATTTTTCTTTTTTTGGTGGTGGGTGTGTGGCATTTTTTCGCTAAATAACTAAGCAGATTTGCACCCCCCTCCCAAATGACAATTCGAACCTTTTCCTACCCGTGTAGTCACGGTACTACACACCCCGGAAGTGAAAACTTCCTTATTCATAAACAGACGATTCCTTTCAGAACGCTAAGAGTAAGACCTTTCTTTATCAGTCAATTCCTTCTTCAAATATTTTATCTACTTCTTTCTTTCTTTCTTTCTTTCTTTCTTTCTTTCTTTCTTTCTTTGGCTTTTTTGTTATTGTTGTTATTCTTCCTCTTCTTCTTTTTCCCCATTTTCTTCTCAACGTTATTTGCAATGTGGTTCGGTTAACTTTTTTTGGTTCAGATCATTTTTTAATTTTTATTAATTTCGTAACAAATTCCCTTATTTCGCAAAACACGCCTTTCTGTTTAAAAAAATCCAAGTAGCATAAAATTGTACACAGGCACCACTTCAGAAATGAATTATTTACAAAGTTTTAATTAGTCTGGCACAAGGCCAGGAGTAACTTCAAGTTCCAGGCGATGAAACACCTTTATTGAAATTCAAACATTATATAAAGGAAGAAGCTTTATCTTCAGAACGATTTACGATAAAATAGTCACATGACCAAACCAAAATGAAAAGATGCTTTTATTTCAGTTTCATTTACCGTTTTTGTTCTTGAACAGATTTTACTGAATTTTTTTCAGTCATTCTGTTATTATTATTATTATTATTAGTGGTAGTAGTATTAGTAGAACTAGCAGTAACAACAGCAGCACTACTAGTAGTAGTAAAGAAAGAGTGAAGTGAATGTATGAAAAGTTTGAAATAAACGTTTTTGCAGTATGAAGCAGAGTAAAAAAATCCCGATTTTTACACAATTTTTTAATTAAAAAGAATGTCCTATCAATTAACCCTGTTGAAGTTTCTTTCTTTCTTTCTTTCTTTCTTTCTTTCTTTCTTTCTTTCTTTCTTTCGTTCGTTCTGTTTTTCTTTCTTTCTGATGATGATGATGATTTTTCATTATTTATTGCGGCATGTGTTTTTTTCCATGACTAATTCATTTTTCCGTCAGTTTTTTTTTCACCTCATTTTTTTTTTCACATTGCAAAAAAAATGTACTCTTGATTTAAAGAACGACCATTAACCAAGCAAATTAGTACCAAAAGACATTTTAAATAATGAAGAATCGCATTATGAAACGTGGTAAAAAAATTGTCTCTACAAATTCAAATAAATAAATCATGCAGTCACATTTAAAATCTGTGTTTGCTCTTTTACTTCTTGTCTTCAGAATGTTAGTAAGAAGCGATATAATTTGGTTGTTTATTTCATTTGCCAAACAGTAAACATCCAAGCAGGCACGCAGAGAGAGAGAGAGAGAGAGAGAGAGAGAGAGAGAGAGAGAGCAAGTCTCTCTTGGTCTCATTTAAATAAAGAACTTATTCATTGCAGAACACAACTCGACTTTGATGATGAGGCAGATAGCTTCCAAAGTAGACAGACTGCATCAAGCAAGAAGAAGCGAGCAAAATAGACAGTCTTTTTAAGTTTTTAGTTTTATCTTTTTACCTACTTTCGGCAAAAATGACAAGACTTAGTTCTCAAAATGTTTGTATTTAAAAAAAAGTAATTTATCAGGGGGTAAAATCGAGATGAAAAATACTGTAAGTAAAAATCTTATATTTATAAATTATAATTTAAATTAGGTACCTCCACGGAATCGCTAAAAAAATGAGCATACATGATGAAAAAATGCCCCAAACTTAATAAAAACAAAGTTTTATCGTCAAAATCTTTATGTTAAGAAGAAAGACCAAAAGATTTTTTAATTTATAAATCATATTTTTCGATGATCCCTTTCAGAACGTTCAAAATTTTGGTTAAAAATCTTGTTTTTCTTGCGTTGACAGGGGAAACAAAGATTAGTATAGGAAATTTTAGCACCTTTTTTGCGGTGAAAAACACATTGATTTGGAAATTCTTGCAAAAATCAAATAATTGTTGGATTTTAATGAAACTTTCAGGACTTATTCACAAATGAATGAAATTTTTTTAGAAACGTTTCTTTTTTAGGAAATTTTGGTAAAAATATTTTTTTTTATATCTGTTACCCCCACTTATTTAATTTTATGGAATTTTGAGAAATCAATTTTTGTTCAGCTTAAATTTCAAATGGATTTTTACAAATATGTGAAATTCATTTCTAAATAAAGAAAATTTTTAATCAGTTATGTGTCATGCGTGATACACGCTTATGCGATCATGTATCTTTCAATACATGACTGACGAGGTAGATTTTTCTCGCAGTAGGTTGCCATTTCTTTCTGCGGTAGGCCAGTTGACATCCAAGGCTATAGAACCTGGTCTGTTCTGATATTTACCCATACCTGGAAGAAGAGGATTCATACCTTTCACAAGGGTATTAGCACATAAGTGAATGTAATGGAATCAAATAGAATTCAAACTCGGCTCTCCGATTCCTCAATCTGAGCTGCTATCCATTACCCCACTATGGCTACTAAAAAAATTCTAAGACAAATGAAATTCCCATTAAGTACCTGACACTGCGTTTACAAGAGCCAGATCAGGACAAAAATGGAATAATGCCCAGTCCTCACTTTCCTGCCTTGATAGAGTTCAAAAGTGTCTCTGCGTCCTTGTGGGTGATGAATTATTTTCCGCCCTACAACCCTTTTCTCACAGATGAGACATCACAAACCTCTCACTGCTCTATCGCTATTTCCATGAAAAGTGCTCAGAAGAAATACGTTTCTTAGTTCCCCCAGTTCTAACCTTCACGGCCCAGTCACGAACCACCCTCATTCCATTCATTTTCTGTTGGTGAGATTAAGTTCCACTCAAACAACTTCTTTCTACAAACCACTACATTATCGGACTGACTCCCATGAGGATGTTTCCCTGATCACTACACTCTTAACCTGTTCAAGTCTAGGCATAACTGTTATCTTCCCTATATATTCACATAGACTGTGCTTCTTATTTTGTAACTCATTACCTCGAGTGGCACTTGGGCCTTGTACAGGGTGAACATCATTGTAAAAATATATATAACGACCTTTTCATTTACAGTTTTCTCCATAGTGGGTAACTGAATGACAAAATGTGAAAAAAAAAGCCACTTACATTACACGTTTCAGCTTTCAAAAAGACTTCTTCAGACTAATAATGACCTTTTTTTTTTATCAATATTGAAATATGGTAAATGCCAGTTGCAATTCTACATTGAGAAACACTTAAGATTTCCTTTTATTATTTTATAATTTCTCTTTCAATTACTTGATGTTAATCTGATAGAGTTCTTTGTATATCTTCTAATATCCATCATAATAAATACAGATTAAATTTTGTTTTTACAATATTTATGATTGCTTAGCATAGAGGGATTGTAAGTATGGGGTACCCAGTGAGGATCAACTCACTATTCAGTTGTAATTGATCCAGTGAGAAAAGCTTGTTAACTATTATGCAATATTGCAGTACCCAGGAGATTTTCTAAGTGTATGCACAAGGCCGAAAGTATGGAGTACTCAGTGAGGATTGAACTCATTCAATGTGTCAGTTAAATGCCATACATGATACACACTTTTCTTTCGATTTATGACTGACGAGGCAGAAGATTTTCCTGCAGTAGGTTGTCATTTTTTTCTGCAGTGGACTGGATGCCAAACAAGGCTATCAGCTCCAATCTGTCCTGCTATTCAACCCATAGTTTGAGGGAGAAGAAATGGATTCATACCTTTCCCAAGGGTATTTTTACATAAGTGAATATAAAGAACTCAACTGGAATTTGAACTCAGCTCTCCAATTTCTCATTCCGAGCCGATATCCATTACACCACCCCCACCTGCACGTTCTCATTACTTACTACTCAGTCATAATTGTTCTAATGCAGTGCTTTTCAACCTTTTTGCTGGAGTGGAACCCCATGGAAACATTCCACTGGCTCGAGGAACCCCTGTGCAATAATTTGGTTGTCTTATGCAAAAAACAGCATTTAATTAATTATACAAAAAAATGCAATTTGTAATAAAATGAAAATATTCATGTTCAGAGTATTGTAAATGAAATGAAAACAAAAGTGTACATGTTTGAATAGATTACATTTATTCTTATGAAAAAGTCAATGGGAAACTTGAGCCTGGTGTTTCTTGCACAACTCTTTAAGATTGGGTCGTGTTTTGACAGACACACACGAAGTTCATCTTCCACAGACCGCAATTGAGCTCGTTTCTTGTGCTTGATGGTTGTCAGAGCTGAAAATCCAAATTCACAAGTAGGAGATTGAAAATTGCACAAGAAGTCGTAGCGCTTTCTGGGCAATTGCAGGATATATTCCTTTTCAACCAGCAACCAAAATGCATTCAGGTTAAGTTCAGAATGCTTCAGCTTTAATGTCCTGTCATTTAGAACACTGGCAAGTTCTTCTTCTTCTGTTAATGTGAACTGTTCTTCAGGCGGCTCAAATTCTACAAATGGTTTTCTAATCCAGTCATACTGCTCAACAGATATTGATGGAAAATATTTGTCAAGATTTGTTAACAAAGTGTCCAAATGGTTCAAAATCAGTAGCCTAATTTCTTGACAATTCCTTTTAAAAACACATGGAAACATTTCCAAATTTCCTGCAGCAATGCGTTTCTTCCATATTGTCAATTTCTTCTGAAAAGCATTTATTTTGTCAGTAGAAGACAAGATATTTTCGTTCCTGCCCTGCATGCTATTGTTCAAGAGGTTTAGTTCATGAAATATATCGGCAAGATATGCTAACTTCGAACACCAATGGCCATTACTTAAACATTCTACAAAGTCTTTCAGGTTTTCTTTGCAAACAAAAGGTCAATAACTCTTCTCTTAATTTGTAAAAACGAGACAATACTTTCCCCCCTTGACAACCATCGTATTTCTGTGTGCTGGATTAAGGTGGAATGTTCTGCTTCCATACCCACACAAAGTTTCTCAAACTGTCGACATTTAAGTGGCCTCATCTTGATGTAATTAACTATTTTAACTACCATATCCAATGCAGATTTTAGTTCAGATCCAAGAGTTTTAGCTACTAGTGCTTCTCTATGAATGAAACAATGAGTATGGATAATATTTGGATTTTGTTTTTGTTCGATTGAGACAAAGCCTTTAAGACATCCTGTCATTGCAGGGGCACCATCTGTACAAATACCAGCACAGTTTTTCAAGTTTAATCCACAATACTCTAAATATGAATTCAAAACATCAAATACATCTTGTCCTTTCGTTGTCCCTGGCAATTCTTTTGAGACACAGGAAGTCTTCTACAATAGCTTCATCATCAATAAATCGAACAAATACAAGGAGTTGTGCTTTACCACTAATGTCCGTACTCTCATCAACTTGAAGTGCAAAAAAGTTATGTTTCAGTATTTCTGATTTAAGATTGCATTCAATGTCTCCTGACATGTCTTGAATGCACCTACTTATTGTGTTGTCAGAAAGTGGAATTTCATTTACTTCTGATACAGCATCCTCTCCAAACATTATCCTCACTATTTCTTGGCATGCAGGTAAAATTACAGTTTCAGCGATGGTATGAGATTTCATTTTTCTTGCAACTATCTCCGCCACAGCATAACTTGCTTCTTGTGCTTTGTCACTCAACTTGAACTTTTGGCAAACATAGAAACCTGCCTTTTATTACATTTCATTTGTCGTTGAAAATATTGTTCATCTTTGCTCGACAACTCTGGATGTTTAGTTACTAAATGTCGTTTCAGTTTGGCTGGTGCCATAGCACTGTTAGCCAGCTTCTCCCCACAAATAATACACAAAGGTGAAGGGCACTCTGGGTTTCCAGTCCAAGTAAATCCCAGAGCTATGTAGTTTTCACAATATTGACGAACTTTAGTTGTAGGTTAATTCCACCATTTCTTGATTTCGATGAGGCAGCATTGCTGGTAGTAGTTTCGGCTTCAAAAGAGTGCCTCAGATCCTGTGTCTCTTCATCCGCATCTGTCTTATGTTTTTTCACAAATCTATCCATGG